AAAGCCAGGTTGGTGGCTCATGGTTTTGAAGAGCTGAAGGTTTCAGAGCTACAAAAGGACTCGCCCACATGTGCTTCTGAATCACTTCCGCTTCTTTTGGCAGTTATTTGTCAAAAGCAATGGACCCTGAATTCCATGGATATAAAATCTGCATTTCTGCAGGGAATGGAGCTGTCACGTGATCTCTATGTTAAACCTCCCCCAGAGGCAAAGTGTGAAGGGGTATTTTGGAAGTTTAAAAAAAGTGTGTATATGGTCTGGCTGATGCGTCACTGTACTGGTACAACAGAGTAAAAGACATCATTCTAAAAGCGGGAGGAATAATGATTAGAGTGGATCTGGCTGTGTTCTTTTGGAAGGATCAGAGCTGCAACGTTATGGGAGTCCTTGCCTGTCATGTAGATGACTTCATGTGGGGAGGCACAGAAACCTTCTCTACAACTGTGATACCTCACCTTAGGTCAATGTTTCAAGTAGGACGGGAGGAACACAACACCTTCGGTTATGTGGGAATGGACTTTGAGACTACTAAAGGAAAAGTGCAGGTGCACCAGGATAACTATATTCAGCACATACAGCCCATACTCATAGATCCTTCTCGAGCTGTGGAACACAACTCGCCTCTTTGTGAGAAAGAAAAGGATCAACTCGGATCAAAGATTTGTCAAATTCTTTGGGTGGCACGACAGAGCAGACCAGATGTACTGTTTGATGGCAGTAACTTGGCTTCAAGCATTAAGGATGCAACTGTACAAACTGTTCATGAGGCAAACAGAGTTGTGTGCAAACTCATCAAAAAAGGTACGACTGAACTTTCAAAACTTGGGCAGAGACAGTGCACTTCAGATGGTTGTGTTCAGTGATGCATCATTTGGCAACCTCCAAGATGGTGGGACTCAAGGTGGACACTTGATTGTTCTAATGGGAGAAAATGGAAAGTTCTCTCCCCTTTCCTGGCAGTCAAAAAGGGTCAAAAGGATTGTGAGGAGCACTCTTGCTGGTGAAACACTCGCATTATCAGATGGCATTGATAATGCACTGTTTATGGCAATGCTTTTCTCTGAACTCACTGCTGGTGACACGGAACATGCAACGCCAGTAACCTGTGTGAAAGACAATCATTCACTTGTTGATGCACTTAAGTCCACAAAGTCAGTAGCTGAGAAGAGACTTCGCCTGGAAATAAGCAGCATCAAAGAACCGATTCAGACACAGAAGGGTGAGCGAGTGTTGTGGTCCAACGCAAAAGACCAACTCGCTGACAGTCTCGCAGCAAAAGGGGCATCATCTCTCCAGTTACTGAAAGCACTCAGTGAAGGACGATGGCACCTTCTTTAGATTACACTTTGGATTTCTTTTTGAAAGAACTGAGCCTAAGAGACCATTAAAAAAAAAAATATATAGTATGTATATGTGTGTGTGTGTGTGTGTGTGTGTGTGTGTGTGTATATGTATGTATATGTATATAGTGAGTTTGTTAAGTTGTCATTAACATTAAGTTACCGGACCATCGGATTGCAGTTATTATGTTCAGTGTTTTTTGGTCTGCATTTTGTGTTAGCTAATGTTATCCCGTATAGTCAAAGTGCATTAAAGGGGGGGGAAGATTGTCGTGGGTGCACACGGGAAGTGGGTGGAGTAAAAAATGGCGATGGAATGAATAAACGGAGTTGAACCGAGCTGCACGTGTATCATCATTGGAGTTTAACAGGCAGATGCACTGCATCAGTGTTTGTCAGTAGTAATAGGAGTATTTTGTCCACCGGGGAGCACTGATAAGTTTATTATCATCCCACTCAGTCTATGTATTGATCACCGACTATAGAAACAATGGACAGGCTAAGAGCTCCCAGAAGTGAAGCCATCACTGGTCAATCGCCCCATGGTGGCTGGTTGTGGTATCTTTCATAAATCCTGCCTCTTCCATGTTAGCTGATGGGACATGAGCCAAACTAAAAACACAAAGTACAAATCAAATACATTTTCCCCAAAGGGGAGTTCTGTAGTTTTAGGTAGGTATTATCACATGATGTGTGTGTTGACAGAGATTCAGTCTCATATTACCTGCAATCACACAGAATTTGAGTGTTCACAAGACAGACCTAAATTAGCCAACTCTGTAACGTCCTGCTTGCTTATTTATAGAGACATACTATTAATGGCGTTGTTGCCTAGGAGTGGCTCAATTTATATTTAATTTATGAATCTATAAATTCACTTCATCACAGTTTCACCCTGATATTCCCACAAGAAGCAGAAGTTAAACATAAGGAGAGAAAGATTAATGAGGTGAATTAAAAAGTTAAATTACACTTTGCTCTCCTTTATTGCAGGGGCATGATGAGTTATTTATGATCAAACACCATAAAAAATTTCACAACTTGACCTTATAGGACATATAGACTTTTTATAAAACTAATACATACACGCAGTACTTGCATGTTGCCCTGTTCTTATGTGATGTACAGTATTAAATCTCTGATTACACCATGATAACAGTCCTGCTAAGTCTTTACAGTATAGTAAAATAGCCCATGTTATACACTTGACTGAATGTGCCCTTGTTTGATTTTCTGTAGCATCTCACAGAGAGGTTGTCACGTCTGCTGTCAGAGTGAAGATGGATAAGGACACGTTTCACAGCTACTTTAAAGGCCAGGCTCTTATGTGAAGGCTCATTTTGCAGCATTTTTGCCTGTGGCTCTGGGTAATTGGGAAATATTAGTTACAGTGCCGTGAAGACCTGCATCCCTGTGGTCATGCAGAGCTCTCGCCTTGCTATCACTTACTGACAGCAGCGGCACAGTACAGCATGTCCTGTTTCTGCTGTCTTCCACTGAGCCGCTAATATGTCTCGTGCATGTTGTGCCGTAGGAGATATTATAGCTTACAGAAGGAATCGTTTCTTAAAATGAGGGGAGCTTTAATTCTCATTTTCTTGCTCTTAAAACATATGTCTGCCTGTTTAGAACTGGGGCCAGCTAATGCCCTGCAAATAATTATACTTTTATGACACTTATAAAGTTTACCTCATCTCATTTAGAGAGGCGTTGAATCAACTGTATGACCGTCTTTCTTATATTAAGATAAAAGCTGTTTCTTATATTTGTCTAGCCCACTGACATGTATACAATGGACATGGTGTCAACAACTCCCTCCACTATGCACAAGTGAAGCCAAAATATTGCGATTAAGGCGGCTGCCATCTTGCTTTTTTGCAACTAGATTCTGTGCAGTAGCGACCAGACGTGGGGCAACCAGATGTGGGGCAACAACAACACCCAAAGTTGTCAAATCAACCAAAACACACCTCTTCTTATAGCATCAAATAACCCACTAAAAACAGACAGAAAAGTAACTGTTTTACACACAGCAGTGTGATCATATCTACCAAGAACCACAGAAGTGACTTCTGGGAAATCTTTGTTTTTAGTCTGGCTCATGTCCCAGCCATGAACATAGAGGAGGAAGGATTTATGACCTATACCTACTGGGGAGGGGCTTGCATCGCGGCGGCGTCATTTCTGAGAGCTCTTAGCCAGCCCATCGTTTTTACAGTCAACCGTCTAGCCTTACACATGTACAACATGGGGCGGACAAAATAGGACCCTGTGGCTGAACTGGAAATAAAATAGGAAAGTCAGAAATGTGATAATTCATTAGATGTTTATGTTTATAGCCAACATGTAAACAGTTTGTGTCGCACTGCTTGCATCTTAATAGCACTAGATTAATTTTTTAAATACTTGATTACATTTCAGATCAGCTCAAGTATAACGTAGTAAATGTTCTTAAATCGGTACAGTCATCTCTATTGATTACCTCCTTTGATGTATTTGATTTATTTGAAGTACTTGAAAATGAAATAAAATGCATATTCCCAGTTTTAATTTGGAAAAATAGCCTTTTGTGTCACAGAATGAGTCCTTGCCACTTTTGTGTTACTTTTACTTGAGAGTTGGCGTTATGTGGCTTCTTGCTAAAGAGGCTGTAGCTTTTGAATTGATTCACAGACACGACCCCCATTGCGGTGTGCTGATAGAGAGAAACCTGCTAATACTGGCCATAGTAGTACAGTTTGGTCTATACACAGTCTAAAATGCTAAACATGAGTATTTTCTATGTTTTGTTTTATGCCATTATAAAGACGACTTAAACTTGAAACTGTAATGGGCATTTTTTTAATAGATAAAAAAAAAAATTTGGGAAATAATCTGTAGATTAATCCATAAATAAAATAAACAGCCCTAATGGAGTACCAGCCGATTTAGACATGCGGGTCTTACAACTAGATGAATGATTGTTTATTAAGCTGACAATTCCTTTTTTTCAACATTGTCCCAGCCTAATTTAACTGTTGATAGACACTTTCAGCCTTTAATTTATAAAGCAATTGGTTTAGCTCGTAGAGCTCTAAATGTCAATTTTATTATTTCTTCAGAACAGGCTCTGTTCTCTAATTTCCTTGGTAGTAATGAATTAACTGTGGGGTCCAATTGGAACAGTTGAACCCCCTTCTGAGAATTCAGGACCATGATGGATGTGCAGTGCACTGTGACGATCTATCTGCTGGTGAAAGCTCTCAATCTTGGCTTGGCAAAGGCAGCTGGGCTGGGTGTGTGGATAAAGATGGGAGGGCACACGGTTAAGAGACTGTGGCTGACTAGAAAAACTTTCTTCATGGAGTGATTCCTTTTTTTAATGAATGCTATTAATATTTTTTATTGGACCAATAAGATGTACCTCTGCAGTACAGGCTGCTGTCCCGGAAAACGGATGGAGGGATGTATCGAGCGGAAGAGAGTGTGTTTTAATAGAGATGGAGCCATAAAGTTTGACCCACATGGTCTGTCAACTAATATTCATGAAGTGTTTGGAAGATGAAAAATGTGCTTCTCCATCACCTCTTGACTTCATGTCACTTTGTTTTATTCACACAGACAATCTTGCTCACATCCATGTGTCATTCATCAGTTTATCTTTTCATTTTTGTCTTTCAGTCGGTGTCAATATGTTCTACATCTGCATTATAGTTTATCTGTATGGAGACCTGGCCATCTACGCAGCAGCCGTGCCTATATCACTAATGGAGGTTGTCTGGTAAGATGAGTATACTTTATCACATTCATTCTCAGTTTTATTGTGAAATATACCTTTTCTATAGATTGTTTTTTTTTTTTAATAGTTGCCTTTCTTGAAGAGCATTTGGAACATTTTCTACTTTCTGTTTTGGCAAGACAAAGCACGTCTGTCTTCATCTCATTTGCTCCTCAGTCCACACTTTGATTCCATTGTCACCTTCTGAACTCGAGATTAAGACAATAAAGCTTTGCCGACAGAGGCCTTTAGGTCTGCTGACCTCCTATTGGTGCTGCTGGCATCTGAGTCGCCTTGACATGCTTCCAGCCAGATTTTTATTGGAACTCTTTTGGCCAGACTGGGTGACAGTAAGGTGTTTCATATGGTTTCAGACTCTGCCCCTCAGAGCCTGGACCACAGAAATAGCCATTCCCGCCTTTAGTGTTGTTTTAGTAACAAAAGTTTAGGGTGGTGACAGTCGGTGTTTCTGACAGTGATGTTTTTTTTTTAATAGTTAGACATTTTCAAAATGTTTAAGTTTTAAAGGAAGTCTAATGAACGATCTTTTATAAACTGCCCCCATTTTACCTCAGTTACTTTCTCTAACTCTGGTCAGAACAATCTGAAACTACAAGTCAGGTAAATTTGAAAACACGGTTTACTCACGCAAACAAAATAGCAAAATCTCTTCTTTGTCATACCATTTTGGTCACTAAACAACAAATCTGTTTATCACAGCCAACACAGCGACTCAAGTCAGTCAGGCAGTCTGGTCTCTTACACTGCTGATTCTCAGCTGGTTAAACCTCTATTCTGTTTTCTCCTGCTGTCTGTGATCATCAGTAATAACACTAAACACATTTGCATTAGCCCCATCTTGTGACTCATGTATTACGTACACTTGAGTGACAGACATAGTCTTCCATTAACGTGTGAAATTGAGACTTGCCAACCGTTTTAACCCCTTATCATAGTTTCATAACACTCACCCAAATTCTGAAGGTATTTTCCAATTCTCAGTAGACTCTTCTAACAATGCAGGATTAAAAATAATCCAGTCTCGTCCAGGAAAAATGTTAATTTAATCAGTTTCTTCTCATATAAACAAAGATGGTGACAGGAAATGACAGCTTTATTCTGGCTTTGAGTGAAAGTGTCTTGACGTTCAAATAAAGCGAGAGAGGCAATGTTGCTTCTCGTCGGCATCTTTTCTCAACTAAAAAGAGGTTGTTTTACCTGAGAAATGGACAAAAATGATATTTTTCATGGACAGGAACGGATTCTTTTTTGACTCCACATCGTTAAAATAACCTATGAACAATAGCACACTGATGCTGTCTTGTCATATTAAAGTCTCCCTCACTGTGGTCCAAACCTTGCTGACCTTCCAGCAAAAATAAATGTGAGTTGGAACTGCAACTTCAGATCAGTTTGTTTTGCCTAAAGGCACAAACTGCAGTTTTCTCAGTAGCATGAGCAGAACCAGCTAATGTTACTAAAGCCCCCTCTGACAGGGTTTGTGATTACTTTTTAAGTGATATTCTTAAAGTTTTCCCAGCCTCTGCTCCACACAGCATTACAGTACAGTAGCTTTCCCTTTAGCCGAGCTATCCGACTGTTTGATAACATGTGAACTCGGACATTTCACTTTACAAGTTGTAATGAGTTGTCAAGAGTTCATGCTGATCTGCAGTGTGCATCAGTTTCTCACAAGGTTGGGGTTGTTTGTGTGTGCATTGCTGTGTACAGTGGCAACCACTCCTGCAGCGCTGGAAGTGTGAAGTACAACGATACAGACCCATGCTGGGGCCCTGTCACAAGGAAAGATGCGTATCGGGTGTTTTTGGTAAGTGTTGATTCCCAACAGCATGTGCCTTTGTTTACCTTCCTGTTTTTGGGCCATTAGTTTGTAAGAGACTTTACCTGTAACTTGTCCTTTCCTTGTTCAAGATGAGCTCATCTTTTAAGGTCAGATTTTAATGTCAGAACTTAGGCTACAAATTTTACCAGCCAAGGTGGAGGGAATGTTTTTACCAGCATTTGTTTTTTGCTTGGTTTGTTCACAGCATAGCTCAAAAAGTAACAAATGGATTTGCTTTCTGTAAATCAGTGTCTGTATATTTAGACTCGCCAAAAATGATTAAAAAAGAAAGCAACGCCTCTCTCTATTACTTTAATAAACGTTGTGTTTCACAGTTCAAAATGATCAGGTAAGTGACAAGTCATTCTTGGTGAAATGATCTAGGTGATGAAGTCATGCCATTATCTGATGGGTAGCTGAGCACCGGTGACCATCTCAGTTGACAAACATGCTGTGTAGATGATTCCAGAACTACAGGTTCCGTACTATATATCAGCATACGAGCTCAGAAAGTGAAGGAGGTGAACAGTTTTCATTAGCTCCTACTCTGAACTGTGTTTACATTTTTATAGAAACAAGAATAACATTGTTGAACAGTGCTTGATTTCACAGGGGCTTTCTCCTCTTTTAAATGTGTTGTATAATAATATAGCTGCTGGACAGTGTGAAGAGTGTATTTTCAGCCCAAGCAGCTACGCTGATGTTTTCATCTCCTGTGTGAACAAGGTGTCATGTTCCAGGTTTTGCCTGCATTTCTGTCACATTCGCCTCTGACAGCATTTTCTGTCCCCTGAGTGCCTTTTTCATTCAAACTTCTTCTGACACCTTATCTGTGTGTGTGTGTGTGTGTGTGTGTGTGCGCGCGCACGCGCACATGTCCTTGAAGTCTATAGTGAGCCAAACTTTGTGCTTTCCACTCAAGTTTTTACTTTGCACAGCAAGTGATAGATGTGTTGATCTCTTCCTGTATAATTTCTCTGCCTCCTTGCTCTCTCCTCCATATCCTTGCTTATAGTTTAATAAAATGAGCTGACCCCAAATAATCTGCCAGTAAGTTAACTTTTCCCTCCTTTATCTCCTATGGGATAAGCCTCTTGTATAAGAAATTTGAAGAAAAATAAAAAGAAGCTTTTTTTTGTAATCTCTGGTCATTCGTTTACACTTAGTGTTGTAGACTCATTTCCTAGTTTCATCTTAGGAAAATTGATACAATATGTAACAATGACAAACATATTTAGCTGTGAATGATGACTAATAGGGATGCACTCATCTGACCTCTGTCCCACAGTAAAGTGATACTTAGGGCAGTGGTTTCCCCATTCTCTTTCAGCTTGTGACCCAAAAGAGAAATCTGGTCTCTCTCCGGGACCCAAACTTACAAAAATACATCACGACATGCTACAATGCCTGCATTTGTAATCTACTGATAATGAACACAATAAATACTGAATTTAAAATGTAGCCTATATGAACTATATTTATTTCATTATAAAAGTACATGACGGCAATAATGAAATTGCTGAGAGTAATGTTGAATATCTCACCCCTTTTAACAAACTTAGCTCACGAGGTAGGGCAGTCGTCTCCTGACCAGCAAGTTGGTGGTTCGACTCCCGGTCTCCCCGCATGCCTAAGTGTCCCTGAGCAAGACACTGAACCCCGAATTGCTCCCGGTGGCTTGACTAGCGCCGTTGTGTGGCAGCCTGTCGTCATCGGTGTGTGAATGGTGTATCATCTCCTGTAAAGCGCTTTGGCCAGTGTAACACACTATGCGCTATATAAATACAGTCCATTTACTATTTAAAACAAAGGTTCAGTGACACATCACCTGATCCCTGCCCACTCCTCTGATGCTGCTTTGCTCATGGTCACACACAGCGGCTGTTTATAGTCCATGGTTTACTCTTATAGTCTGTTAGCTACTATGTGCACTCAGCATCAGCCAACAAGTCCCTTTTCATTTTCTCTTGCTCCTTTTCTGCACCGTGGGTTTTTCTATCTCCAGGTTTTATTTGCTACCACATCTACTTTGCAGGTGTGAAGGCAACAGCTCTCACAGCTGTTAAGGCTGCACCAGCAGTGTCGCTGCAGCAGGTCTGTTGAATTTCTAGGATGTATAATGTCCAAGCGGTTTGCAAGTAAATCTTATTGACCCACCAGGAAAATTCACGAACTTCAGTGGAAGGTTGAGATAAGGTTTAGGAGAGAGAGAGAGAGAGTGAGAGCTTTGCTGCATCTGAGCTTAACAGATCAGCATGGAAAAAGAGCGCTCTTCTTCTTAAGTTTTTTACTCTGCCAACTGGCGACCCAGTAATAACCAGTTTGGGGAAGGCAGACTTGCGCTAGTGGCCATACAAGTAGTGCTCCGGGGTAAAATGTGAAACCTCATCAGTTTGCCGGCTTTTTTAAGCTCAGTGTAAAAGGGCTTAAATCGAAAAAGCCGCCTTGAAGGGGGGTCAATACACGGTTTTCTGCAGTCTCTGTGTGAAAGGGGCTTGTGTGACACTGATTAGGATTGTTCTTTTGTTGTAAGGTCGCATGTGACTGTAATTTGCACATTCATTCTGAACTGCATGTACAGATGTTTTTTAACTCCAGTGGCTGAAGGTATGTCATTAATATTTAATGACAGAGATTTAATGCCTTAGTTAGTAACAAAATGATTTGCTACATGCAATATTTCACAAAGACCATCTGAAAGAACAAGGGCCAAAACTGTATGTTTGTTACAGTAATGTTTTGTAACCTTGATGCCACCATAATGTCTTATTAATTTAATCGATCACTTGCTTCATTCATTAAATAAATCAAAAATCACTCAAGGGTAATGATCCTGGTAGCACGCTCTATGCTAGCTGGACTGGCTCTTCACTCCACTCTGTCTTTGTGTGTGTGTGTGTGTGTGTGTGTGTGTGTGTGTGTGTGTGTGTGTGTGTGTGTGTGTACATGCCTGTGCAGGGTCAGAGGCTCTGTCCTAAAGACACAGCCCAGACTCTGAGTGATGACTCTAAATAATTGACTATTTCTCATCAGCTATGCTCTACCCTGTGGAAAGAGCTATGAAAACCCATCACACCCAGGATGCGCCTGTACTGCTTTGTATTCTCAGTGATACATTGTGAGCTGGGCTGCAAGGACAAGGTGCCCTTCTTCCACTGTGTTGTCCATTTCTGTAATGGACCATTTTCGCTCAGGTCTTCCAGGGCTACACAGTTTCAAGAGGAGTCATTCAGGGACTCTGTTCAAAATTGCTATCTGAAAAGCACAGTTTTATTTTATATAATTCTGATCTTTCTCATCTTTTTTCTCTTAGTGAGTCAGAGGGTGATTCACGAGTTATTAGGTAAATTAATGTTCAGTAATATTGACACTAACACAAAAAGCATCAGTGTTTGTGTCTCTGACCAAACCACCAATAAAGAGAATAAGAAATAAATGTGTGCAAAGCCGGAGTTTTTAACCTACTGAGGCTTCATGACTCCAGGATGTAGACTCATATGGTATCAGGCTAATATAAGAAGAGATACATAGTTTTAGTGGCATGACGGGGTCAAATTACTTAAATGACAAAACAATATAACAGTGTTTATGTAATATTGGGCTAAACAAATGTTATTCAACTCCTCCTGTTTAATTGCATTGTACTGTACTGTAAGTCAGTCAGTACCAACAGTTTCAGTGTTATGTTTGGGTTACAGGGTGATAAAGGAGCAGCTTGGTTGTGTCCATGAGACTCACTAGGGTGAAGCTAGAGACATCCAAAACTTTCTTTCAGTATAAAACGAGATTTGAGAGCAGCCTCATTATGGTGTTGCTCTAAAGAGCTTTAATCCATGTGTGGGTGATTGATGCTGTGAGAGGGACAGAGGGTGTTTTGGTGATGGACGCTCTTGTGAATCTTGCAGAATAAATAGTTGTCCATGCTTTTACTCACTCCTTTACTACTACTGGTCTTCATGGTGGTCTAACAGCCCGTGCTCTGTATTGAGTTCTGTATGCCTGGCAGTCCCAGAATTTAAGGATAACCACAAATACTGTCACAGTGGTCAAATCTCAGATTTCATCTAATAACAAAAATGGGAAAAACACAAAGTCCTTCAACTCTGAGCTAGAACATGTAAAAGTTTGACTTTTTACTTCATAAATAACTTAAAACAACATACTGATTATCAGAATTGTTGACTAATCTTCTGATGATAGAATAATCACTTAAACTTATCAGAAATCCATCTCTCTCTTAAAAAGAGACTGTTTCACAGCCAGGATTGTTAACACAGCTTCATGTCCATTGACCTTATTCAGTGGTGTCCATTCTGTCTGGATGTGGTGTTTTAACGTTTGTGTCTGTGAACAGTTTTGGTAGGTTTCCACAGGGTTTCTTCACTGTGTTTGCATTGCTTTCTTCACCATGGACAACAGATTGTGGGTTATTTTTAGGCTTGTGAACAGCTGTCCCTGTACAGATGCATGGACCAGATAATAAGTATAGAACAGAAACCCCCAGATTCTCTGCTCGTTATCTTGGGGGATTTTAACAGCGCAAACATGACCCACAAATTGTCCAAATACAGACATGTCAGTTGCCCCACCAGGGACAAAAACACACTGGACTACTGCTATACTTTAATTAAGATCAAGATGGGCTTAAGAAAAATCATTTACCATGATTTTCTGTTGACTGATTCTCCTGTTTTCTGAGTCGATGGCTCAAGGTTTTTCTCCCAATATCTACAATATTTGTCATCTTGGGGGATGTGAAAGAGAGAGGGAGGCTATTGCATAGCAGAGCACTCAGTGTTGATCCTGGCCCTTTACACAGCTTGAATTGAAAAGATTCAATGACCGTGAAACAGTGGGGTCCTTCTGGGTTTTTGTTGAGCTCCAACAGAGATTTCTGAGACCTCAGTTAAACTTCCCTGTCCTTGATTGTACCCCTGCTAAGTGTTCTTTGTGATTTTCACTGCAGGGGCTTTGCCACAGTGGCT